GGCGGCAATGCTAAAGGAAATTTGAAATTAAAGCCTATGTTGGTTTATCGAGCCCAGAATCCAAGAGCTCTTAAAGGTATAAATCAAGGACAATTACCAATAATATGGAAATCTAATAAAAAAGCATGGGTAACTAAAGCTTTGTTTGAATAATGGTTCGTCAAGTATTTTTGTCCAATGGTTGAAGACTTTTGCCGAAGAAGAAATTTAGATTTTAAAGCGTCGCTTATTTTAGATAATGCCCCTGGTCATCCTTTTGGTCTCGATTCAATGTGCAAAAATATCCAAGTGACATTTTGGCCCGCAAACACTACCTATTTATTGCAACCAATGGACCAGGGCGTTATCGCGACCTTTAAAGCATACTACCTGAGAAAGACTTTCAAGCAAGCGATTCAAGCAACATCTGGAGAGAATACTATAACATTAGTTCAATTTTGGAAGAAATTCAGTATTTAAGGATGCTAATGATAATATCCATCAAGCATGTAATGAAATTTCAGTTAAAATTATGCAAGGTGTTTGGAAGACAGTTCTTCCACACTGTGCACAGGACGTCACAGGCTTTTCAAAAGATAGAGAAGAGGTCGTTAAAGAGATTACTCGTATTGGAAAAGAACTTGGCTTCGCTGAGATTGACGATGAAAATGTGCAAGAATTGCTAGAAGCTCATTCAAAAGAACTAACCAATAAGGATCTTATAAATTTGGACACTCAGAGAGCATATGAAGACATTGATGAATGTGAAGAAATCTTACCTACTCGCCAGCATAAGAAGATGACGAAGAATGAATTAGAAGAACTTTTTACGGTTATTGAAGAATTTAAGGGAAAATCTTTAGAAACAGACCCTGATGAAGACAGAAGCCGTCAAATTTGCAGAAAAAGTGATGAGGCAATTTCTCAGTACCGCCAATTATATGAAGAACAGAAGGATACGATGCGATAAGCCACTCTAAATAAGTTTTTCATAAAAAAATCAGATCAATAAATTTTAATTAATTGCATTTTTTTCGTATTTTCTTATATACCTATACTTTGATTAAAAAATATGCAAAATAGAAATTAATTGTGAATGAGAATGATAATTGAGGTATAAATTACATGATTTCCTATAAGTTATTATATTCGATTAGTGCGTCTCTTTTAAAGAACACATTAACCGCACTAATTGAGGGATTCCTGTATAATAAAAGTTATAGTTTAGAAATTCTTATAGTTACAAGGTTAGTCGTATTGCTCAACCCTGTATGGAAAGAGTTAATTCTTTTACAGCTTTGTCATCTATACTGTAAAACAATATCATTTTCAATGTAACAAAAAGATAATGAATAACACAATAATGAAACATATGTTGACATTTAACTTATTATTTTGAAATTCATATTTATTGTAAGATTTACTTATAGTGCCATAAATAATATTACTAAAAACATTCAGCCAGTACCTACTTATTTTGATCATAACGAAGGAAGTACTTACTCAAACTTTCCAATGAATTCACCTAGTGTATCATTCTGAAGACAACAAGGATAATGAAATACTTTTTTGCATCTGATGTAAGAACACTGTACATTTGGTCTAGGTTTCAGACAATAGCAGCATCTCTTGCAAAAAAAAAAGAAGAGGAACATATTGTAACTTACTCAACACATAAAGAACACCAGTAAACCTTAATGTTTTTTTTTTTGGAATATCACATTTAAAAGTGCAACAAGAATGGTAAGTCACTATAATCACCAAACAAATAGTTTGAGGGAAAATTTAGTTACAGTTGATTAATGTATGTATATATAATACAGCAAATAAGGCAATAAAAAGATGAAGTTTTAAATGAAGACTCTACATTTTAAACAAAAGCTGTTGAAGGAATTTTAAATTTCAAACATAATGCTATGAAAGAGAGGTTTTGTAGCTATTCTGATGAAAGGTTTTTTTTAATTGTTTCATGATTGAAATTTATAAGTATTATTTAATCTTTATGTTGCTACAACAGCCACAACACTGTCTGTAAAGTCATTTTCAGTTATTCACAAGTTTCACCATAAAGACCAATGATCCATAAAACAAATTATGGATTGTCATTTGAAATATTCCAAGTGGTAATTTACAGACTAGACAATTCATAATGATATATGAAATGAAGAATAACAAATCATACATAAGGAATTTTCTAATATAAATTCTACAAATGCTGCTGTATTGTTACATATAATAGAGATAAGTTACACCAGTATTCAAGAGTTTATTTTTTGGGATAATTACTTGAAAACATACATCTATATGTATATTCAGTACATAATTTACATACTTGTGCGATGTATCCACCATGTATTTTCATGTGACCATTTAATCCAAATCTGTTCTTGAACTTTTTGTGGCATAATGTGCATTCAAAAGGACTTGCTTCAATGCTGAAAATGTGTATATAAAACTATGTACTTGTTACCTGTAAGAATAATTGCACATGGATAGCACACCACACACACAAAATTTCAATAAACTGCCACCCTACTCTCAGATATCATTTTTTTTTCATTAATTCAAGAGCCTAAAATTATCCAGTTTAATAATAAAAACAAAAAGGTTATATAACCAAGATTTTTTTTATGAAATTCATGAAGGAAGTTCTCATCTAATCACTTGTGAGGCACATTTCTTTTCATTGTTATCACGAGTGCACAAAAATATTTTAGACAAGCAAAAGAGTTTGACATTTGTATCACAAGAAATAACAAAATTCACACTAGGCCTTTCACAGACAAAGCAAAATCTATAAGAGTTGATATAAAAGTATTATAACAGAAAGAAATAGTAAAACATTCATTCATTAAAGAGTATGACATAAAACTACACTGTCTGATAAGACATTAGTCTTTCTTTCTGAGCATATCATTTAAACGCACACATTGTGTACACTTTCTTCTTGCTTTTTTAAAGGCATAAACATATAAAATATTTAGTTTGTCTATAAATAAAAGTGGAATCAAAAATTCCTATAGTGAATGTGTTCAATTCACATTTAGAGTAAAATGTTCATTAAACCACTCAGATAATTATCAGTGTATAGTACAGCATTACACAATTAGTTTATATTAGTTTCCCCTAATTATTTTGTCATATTCACTATTTTGTTGCTTTCTTTTCCAAATTTGATCATGTTATTATTAGTGCAAGATCAAAGAAATTTCTTGAATCCTATCATGTATAGCAAGCAGGCACACACATAATATTTCTTACCTACTGTTGTCTAGTATATTCCACTGTTCAAGTGGAAAGGAACTTTTCAAAACTATCTTATGCATGGTTCCAGACACTTGTATAGTTTTAACAAGGGCAAGTTATTCAAAGAAATTGACTAATCTTCTATTACTGTAGTTACCTGATGTTCTCAGTCCTTCCACATTAGTGTTACATGCAATTTAAAACGAAGTTAAGAGTAGAATTTATACATCTAGTAGACCAGATGATGCCTGGAGGTGTAACCCTCCTTCATTAATTTTATAACAGAATGATCAACAGTAACAAGAGTTTCATAAGTCCTCTGCTGATAAACCCCTTTTTTTGGTAACTGGTAGCTCTCTCAATCTTAGAAGATTTTAGGGGCAGAGAGGATTATTTATTTTCCAGCAACATTAGTAGGCTAATAATGATAATAATAACTTCTGATCTGAGTAAGTTTATGTAGAGAAAAACTAAAAATTAACCTGGCCATCAGTATAGCTGATTAAAAATACTTTTCTTATAAAGCTTAGAAGGAATTGTTACATCAGTAGGGTACCCTTGCTGTTAATGATATATAGGGCCATAAACCCTATAACATATCACAAAGGTTTAGTCTTCTTAGGAGACTTAGGTTAGTCACTAAGTACAAATTCTAAGCTAACAGTACAAATCAATCTCTATAATACAAATTTAATAATTCATGACAAAAAATTAATATGCTACGTGCATGAATAAATAATGCATAAAATTATACTGAAAGTAAATGTAAAATCCATCTAATTAAACTAATGTTGTAATGTTAAACTAAGCTGATAAAAACTATATACATCAACAACTAAAACTAATAGCTGGTAAAACCAATGGCAGTGAAATACACTAAAGCTATTGACTTTTATCCCAAACAACATCCCAAGGATGCAAAATAAAGGGTAGAAAGGAATGTTTTCAAACGTTATGTCTATAGCAAGCATGCTGTTAAATTTTCCAAAGAATTAAATGAATTTTATTTAATTTCCTCAATGAAAAATGCTAGTGAGTTAATGAGCTTTATGCACACAAACTTTTAAAGATGAACAAATTATAGTATTTAATTAGCTGCAAGTAGTAAACATTGTATCATAACTTGTTTGGAATACTTGTATTTTGAAATATAGTTTTTGACTTCAAAGTTGAAAGTGTCTGTTTTATTGTATACTTCAAAGTTGAATGTGCAATTAATGATACTCGTATATAAATCTACTTAGTTTGCTTTGTTTGCAGTGGAAGAACATTTTCCAGAGTGAGCTCTGGTGGATAAATCTTTAGGATTACATTGAGGATATCCTGTTGATTTGATATTAAAATATCATCTATATATCTTCAAGTGCAACTAACATGCAAAGCTTTACTATAGTCTATCCTACAAAGGTTTGCAATACATGAAAATTCTAGCCCAAATAAATACACATCTGCAACTTTCTGTTTAATGTACCTTCCACTGGGATTAACTTTATTTGTATGAAGACATATTATTCAAATGTATTATTAAGACTAATGGCCTGTAAGAACTCATTTAATGGGTAACAGTGGTAACTGTTGTGAGTAACACTGTCCTAGAAAGTTCTGTGTTTACTGATGCAAAGAAGTAATTTATCCAAATTATTAGACAATCCTGAAATTGTTGCTCAAAGGCTTTTTAATTTCATCAATAGTTTAAAGGTAAGTTTGTTAATCAATAACCCTTGCAAGGTAACATACAAACATCTTACAACTTTTGTTTGATAAACTTTAAGTAGGGAGGACATTGAGTTTCTGAAAGTTATTTAATATTATTATTATTATTTATATTAATTTGGGTTAAATAACAGAATAATAACAAGATATAATAAGATAGGTAAATAAAAGTAAGAATGTCAAAGTTTTAGGTTAGAGTTTAAGGGTGTAAATTATTACTACAACGCTAAAATAGGCTTAGTATATATAATGGTACTTCAGGCGTCTGTATATTTCAACTTACTGTTAAATCATTACTACAACGTTAAAATAGGCTTAGTACATATAATGGTATATTTAAGTGTTTTACACTCACAAAAAAGAAACCTATCATTCTGTAGGTATTTGAAGAACTTGTAGCATTCCACCACAATTTAATTCTTTGTATTGTTAGCCAACACTGGGCAGCTGGTACATAATTGAACAGAGTTGTTTAAACATTTGTTTAACAACAAGTAAAACAGGGTCACTGATGAGGAGTGGAACTCTCCAAAACTAGTCTGGCTCACAGACACACCCCCAATAAAAGAATAGACCATTCTAAGCATTTACTTGTTGTTAAACAAATGTTTAAACAACTCTAATCAATTATATAATGGTAAATCATAAAACAGGATAAATACATTGTTTTATTAAATAAATACAATCTAAAAATTAGTTTATTGTCTCTTGGTGTTTTAAGAATTAACTTGTTTACTTGAACTTAGATCCATTAGTTTAAATTCAGTTATAGATATATAGGTAGGTTATAATATAAATCAGGCTAACTACATTTTATTATTAACGTTACATATATTGTGCTAATAAATTATTAAGTTCTACACAATTAATGATAAACTATATTACTTTAGTGTGAAGAGAAAGTAGTGATAAAAAAAAACAATTGGTTCTTAAATGTTAGGCTTAACAGTAACAGTGTTAACAAAGGCTACTAGTATTTGGTATTGAGTACTTATTTTCAGACTATAAGTATAAATACAATGGTTAAGACTAATATCTGAGTTAAGCATTCACAGTTTGTTATGCGTAATGGATGCAATCAGTGGGTTTTACTTGGGAACTCAGGACTGGAATGTACTATTAAGGACACTAATAATGAAGATGTGCAATTTTTATGTAGAGTTTGTAGCTTGGAGAAGTTGGAAGTAATCATGATTAAAGTAGAGGCAATATATAAAGAGAAGGGTAGATTGTGGGAAATGGCAGCAGGATTTCAAGAGGAGCTTAAGCTTTTACATGAAAGGGATACATCAGCTAACAAAGACTTTCAGGAATTTAGGGAGAGCAATATTAGAGTAAAAAGTAATGAATTTAGTTATAATGAGCCAATTCTGTTGAGCAACAAATTTCAGCCCTTGGTCTCTGCAGATGAAGAACTATTGGAAGGAAGGGAAAAAAAAAGGGTCAGAGAAGGATGTGGATGATAAGAAGCTTATAGTTATAGGTGATTCCTTGACAAGGCATGTGGATAGAATAGTCTGTGGGATAAATAGGGAGAAAATAATCAGATTATGCTACCCAGGGGCACAGGTGGAGGATACAACTGACAGAGCAGGAGATATAATAAAAAGGTAGCAGATGTGCAGTTTTTGTGGTGCATGTAGGGGCTAATGATGTAGGGAAAGGTAGGTCAGAGGAGCTAATTAATATGTACAAGGGGTTGATAAAGGCATTTAAAGAAAAAGGCCATAACTTAATTTTTTCAGAGATACTGCCCAGAATTAACTGTGGGGATGAAGTTATAAGTAGGCCATTAGGGTTAAATGCTAGGCTTAGGTCAGTATGTAAGGATAAGCAGATTGGCTTGTTAGACTTGTTCAAAAAAAGAAACAGATTTTGCAATGGATGGTTTACATTTAAATAGGATAGGGCTGGCTTGTTTGCAAGGGCTATTAACTCAGCTGTAACTAGGGCTAGACGGTGGCGAGGGCCAGGATAAACTACATGCAAAAACAATAAAATGTAGAGAAAAGTTTAGCATAGGAAATGAGTATAGAACTAGTTATAAGGATAAGCTTAATTGTTACTATTGTAATGCCAAAAGTATAAGAAATAAAACAGATGACTTTAGAGCACTGGTGGGAATGGAGGATTTTGATGACAGAAATATATTTTAAATACAGGATTAGAGGCAATTTAATAGAGATACAGTATTAAAGAGGGGTGCAGGAGTGGCTTTATGTGTAAAATGTGAATTATATCTTGTTGGAGTTGAGGATATCAAAGATAATAGCAAAGAGATTGAATCCATTTGGGTTTCTATTAGTGGATATAAAGGGAAAAGGCTTTTAATGGGAATTTGTTACAGACCGCCAAATGATACAGATGAAATTATTGAGAAACTATACAATGAGATTAAGATTACAGCTGTTAACCCTTTCAGCACAGTCTCAGTCCATCGGACCGACCTCGTAAACATTTTGTGCTTGTTATAGTT